CCTAGGGGTTTTCCTTCGATAAAATGAAAGAGAAAGAAGAGAGAGAAAAAAGGGGGAGGGGGAGAAGTGAGAGAAAAGGGGTCCTCCAACCCCCAAACTCAGCATATTCATATGAGCATATAAGACCAAAAAGATGCAATGTCAAAATTAAATTTGAAAAATTCCATCCTAATTTTATGGATGAGGAATCCTCCCCCCTGCCCCCATAAGATGAAGCCTTCCTATCTCCTTATTCTTGTGGGGAAAAAAAAAAATGAGAAAGATCGATGAAGGCACCTTTCTTTCAAAAGTCCTCTCTTTCAGTTCAGAGGAAGGTAAATTAAAATACCAAGCAAATTCATCCATCATGGTATGCCTCTTGTCTCCTTTTCATCTTTCTTCCACTTTCTAGATTACTAACTTCTCAGTCACCTTGTTTTTGCTCCCTGTCTGATAGTGAGCATGTTTATAATGCTTAATATTTGATATATCCATAGATGCTGGTACTTTGGCACTTAATATTTGCCATATATAAAAGAACTCAAAGAATTCATGAATATTAATTTAGTGTCCCAAGCTATTTCAGGAATGAGAGTAAGGAAAGCAAGGCTTAGAAAATCGAAAGGATAATTGCTCTCTTGAGTAAAAACTTGAGGGCTGCATCTGGATGCAGGGGCCTCCATCACATTTCATCACTAGCTGCACGACTGTAGGCAAGGGTATGAGTCAGTATAAGTCAGGTTATGCTGTGGTAACAAAGAGCCCCCGAAACTCAATGGATTTTAACAATTCAGGTTTACTTCCCTGAACTCACATATCCATCACAGGGTGGTCACGGCTTGGTGACAGAAGGGGAAAGAGTATACACATGGTAGATAACATGCTGGCTCCAAAATCTCTCTCCCAGAAGTGGCCCCTGTCATCTCCACTCACAGTCTGATGGCCAGAGCAAGTCCAGTGACTGTCAGTGGGGCAGGAACACAGTCTTCTCACCAGGAGAGGCAGCAAGCCTCGTGAACGTAACACAATCGAGCACAGTGAGAGACCCCACTTCCTCAGCTGTGAAAAGCTGGGTCTAAGGTACCCCTCAGATAAAACATAGTGATTCAGAATACTATTTGGCAATAAGGTAGCGCAGTATTGTCATTATTATTCATATCTGCCCACTACACCAACACTCTAAATTCAATGATTCCTCATTAAAGCAACAGAAAAAGTTAGGAGTCTTCTTGCTCAGTCACACTTGGCCCAGCTTTTCTGGAAGATGCTTCCCAGCGACAACCAATACAGGAGCCCCTCCCTTATCCACAGTTTTACTTTCAGTTACCTACAGGCAACTGTGGTCCAAAAATGTGAAAAGGAAAATTCCAGAAATACACAAATTGTCATTTTTAAATTGCACGCCCTTCCGAGGAACTGAGGAGAGCTCTGGTTGTCCCATTCTTTCCTGCCCAGAACAAGAATCCTCCATTTGTCCAGCACGTCCCCCGATTAGGAACTTAGTAGCCACCCCGATTATCAGAGGGACTGTCATGGCATCACACGTCTTATGTTCCAGTAACTCTTATTTTACTCAGTAATGACCCCAAAGCACAAAAGTAGTGATGCTGGCCGTTTGGATACACCAAAGAAAGGCCATAAAGTGTTTCCTTTAAGTGAAAGGGTGAACGTCCTCCACTTCATAAAGGAAGAAAAAGTCACACGCTGAGGATGCTAAGGTCTACATTAAGAACGAATCCTGTATCAGTAAAATTGTGACGAAGGAAAGAGAAACCTGTGCCCATTTTGCTGTCACAGCTCGGAATGCAAAACTTAACGGCCACAGTGCATGAGAAGTGCTCAGTGAAGACGGAAAAGGCATTAAGTCTGTACAATAAGATATTTTGAGAAAGAGAGATCACATAATTTTATTATAATATGTGCTTATAACTGCTCTATTTTATTATTTGTTATTGTGCTTATCTTACTGTGCCTCATTTATAGATTAAACTTTACCATAGGTAGGTATGCACGCATGTATAGGAAAAACATAGTGTATATAGGGTTTGGTAATATCCGTGGTTCCAGGCATCCTCGGGGTGGGAGGTCTTGAAGTGTATCTGCTGAGGATAAGTTGGGGGACGGTGGTGTTCTTTCCATCACCCAATTCTCTGACACTCTAACACAAGAGGGGGCAGCAAAATGTGAGAATTCTGTGAAATCACTCTAGCCAGGATTTTCTTTAAAATGTATCTGCTTCATAGTTATACATAAAATTTCAAAACACTAATCTAGGGACTCCTCTGCGGTCCAGCGGTTGGGAATCCGCCTTCCAGAGCAGGGGCCGCGCTTAGCTTCTCAGCCGTGTCTAACTTCGTGACCCCGTGGGCCGCAGCCCCCCAGACCCCTCTGTCCGTGGGATTCTCCAGACGAGAACACTGGAGTGGGAGGCCATGCCCTCCTCCAGGGGGTCTTCCCAACCAGGGATGGAACCCAGGTCTCCCTGACAGGCACTACAGGCAGATTCTTTTCCAGCTGAGCCACCAGGGAAACCCATGAAGGGGTCTGGAAACAGATCCCACATGCTTCAGGGCGACCAAACCCACCTGCCCCAACTAAAGAGAAAGCCCGTGAGCCACAGCAAAGACCCCGCACAAGCAAGGTTCTAAACACACACACGCGCAGACAGCAGTGTAAGTCTGCTAAGCTCCTCACTGGAAGCCTTCGCCCCTGCAGTCATTTTACCAAGAAGGAAGTCTTAGAGCCCCATCCAGGCGTGGCCTGGGCAAGGAAGACCCATGGGTTTCTGGTTCCCATTCAATCTGTAGTCAGAGAATCACATTCTTTACCTGGTTATACCGAAAAGGGAGGCTGAGCCCAAATACTCACAATCCTCTTTTTTAAAAAAATTCAAAAGCCAGTGTTGGGAGAAGGAAAGGGACTATAAGTTACTAAGTGATTTATATATTACAGGTTCAGAATGTCTTATTGGAAATCCTTGGAGTGTGATATGTTTCAGAATTCAAAATATTCAGGTTTCAGGAAGGTAATAGAGTACATACATAGATATTAACACTGTCAAGCTATATGAAGCTGAACTCATAATTAAATATTCTAGCATCTAAAATGGATCAAGTATAAATGCACATAAGTATAAAAAATAGATAGAAAATAACTTTATCTGTGTTCAGATCTGATTTTTTTTCCAAATGAGTTTTCTGCAAGCTTATGATAAAATTATGGGTGTTCAGAACTTTCAGAATTTGGAAATTGTAGATAATTTGGGACTTTAATTTTACTTCTCATTTAATATGTTCCTATTTAGTGATCTGTAGCACACACTAACTGAAGAAAGTAAAGTGGGGAGAAGCGTGACTAGTGTACTACCTTTACCTTGGGCAGGGTAATGAACATTTGCTTATAATTTTAAAATTTGCTTATACAAAAAAAAAGAAAAAGAAAATGTAAACCAAAAGCTGAACAACAGAAGCAAGGGGACAGGATGGAGAACACAGGGGTAAAAGCCAGGCTTCTCTGAATATACCTTGACTACAAAGACATTTTTAATTTTAGAATGTGTAATCTTTAAAAGTCTTAAAATGAAGCAAATGAATGAGCAGAATCTGGCCTGCAGCATAACCACACCGAGGATTATTTCAGTGACTCAAAAACACAGAATTTAAACGAACATCCTTTGGTAAAATGTAACCTAAGGATGGCTTCCCAGCTGGCTTAGTGGTAAAGAACCCACCTGCCCACGCAGGAGACGCAGGTTTGGTCCCTGGGTCGGGAAGATCCCCTGGATGGCGGCGTGGCAACCCACTGTAGAGTTCTTGCCTGGAGAATCCCATGGACAGAGGAGCCTGGTGGGCTACAGTCCATGGGATCACAAACAGTCAGACGGGAGTGAAGCAACGTAGCACGCACCAGGTCTGGGGCAGGAAGTGAGCAATACAAGCGTGAAGTACTTCTCATCCAAAAGACAGGTCAACCACTGCGTGCTCCGTCAAAATGAGTAAGGGGCCAACTCAAAGGAGCTCCCAGTGGCCCAAAATGGGACGATTTCAGCATCAATGAGAATGCAGTGGATCGAAGCCCATCGAGTGCGTCCAAGTCTACGAAGCCAGCTCACTGGTCGCTTGCACAGGACGCTGACACTCACACGCAACTTCTGAAGACAGGCCAATAAAGGGAAAGAATCAAGCATTCAATCCACCTTTCGTCTACAATCTCCAGCTTCTCACAGAGTTGATGAGGAAACATTTCTCTTTACAAAACATCATCTCTCTAGCAAACAAAGAAGGAGCGATAGAACTAAAATGCCCTTCTTCTGTAATTACTAATTAAATAATTAATCCAGCCACTGCTCTTCAATGGCTCCTGGCATAACAAAAAGAGATAATTGGATGTTACGTTCTTTCTGATGGAAGTCGTGAAGAATAAAAGTTGAATCCAATCAAGCCTCCAAATTTCATTTCCAATTTATAGCAAATACAGGGGACAGAGAAAGATACAGAGTGACATGAAAGTGAAAGTCGCTCAGTCGTGTCCGATTCTTTGCGATCCCGTGGACTACACAGTCCATGGAATTCTCCAGGCCAGAATACTGGAGTGAGTAGCCTTTCTCTTCTCCAGGGGATCTTCCCAACCCAGGGATCAAACCCAGGTCTCCCGCATTGCAGGAGGATTCTTTACCAGTGGAGCCACAAGGAAAGCCCAAGAATCATGGAGTGAGTAGTGTAGCCCTTCTCCAGGGGACCTGCCCGACCCAGGAATCTAACTGGGGTCCTCTGCACTGCAGGCTGATTCTTGATCAACTGAGCTACCAGGGAAGCCCATAAAGTGACATAGCAGGGATGCAATAAATGAAATCTTATATAATAAACACATTGTTTTATTCAAATGTTTTGACAACTGGGGCCTTAGTAACCATGGGAAACTGCCCTCCCACGGCTAACCAGTTACTAGAAATAGTCAAGAATTCACCTTTGAGCACATCTTTATGTACCCACTGGCCAATCCAGAGTCAACCCCCCAGCCCCTCAACTGGGGCTCTTATGCTCCGTGGCAGTATTTTCCCGCCCTATTACTGCAGGGCCAGGGTGCCGTGCGAGGGCTTTTTCTGGCTGCGGTGAGCGGCGGCCCTCTAGGTGCAGCGTCAGGCTGCTCACTGCGCGCCTCCTCTTGCGGCAGAGCTCGGGCTGGGGGGCTCGTGGGCGCAGGGGCTGCAGCTCCCGGCTCGAGAGCACGGCTCAGTAGCTGTGGGCCCACGGCCTTAGCTGCCCCACAGCATGTGGGCTCTTCCTGCACTAGCAACTGAACCTTCGGGTCTCCTGCACAGCAGGCGAATGCTGAGCGCCTAGGCCTCCGGGGACGTCCCAAAGCAGCCCGTCTTCAGCTTGCCTGCCTGCCTTGCTGGCCTTTCTGTGGAAACCACAATGACAGCTCGTGCCCTCATTTGCTGGCCCCCCGCCCCCAAGGCTTTCTCAAGCGGCCTGCCATGCGCTCTTCCCTCAGAAAATGTGAGTCACAGACTCTTTGCAGTGGCAGTTGTCTCTTGACCTGTTAGCCTCATCATACCTGAACAATAACAGAACCCATACTTTATCTAATTATTTTTGGCCACAAAAGAGAAAGTGTTAGTCGCTCAGCCTTGTCCAAGTCTTTGAGACCCTACGGACTGTAGCCCGCCAGGCTCCTCTGTCCATGGGGGATTCTCCAGGCAAGAAGACTGGAGTGGGTTGCCATTCCCTTCTTCAGGGGATCTTCCAGACCCAGGGATGGAACTCTCGTCTCCCACATTGCAGGCAGATTCTTAACTATCTGAGCCACCAAGTGGCTTGCAGGATCTTAATTCTCGGCCCAGGGATTGAACCCAGGCCCATAGCAGTGAAACCTTGGAGCCCTAACCACTGGATAGCTAGGGAATTCCCATAAAACCTACATTTTAAAACACCTTGACTGTGTGAAAACTCTGCAAGACAAATGACAAACAAATTGCAAGGAAATTTATCTCAGTTAAAAAAAAAATAACAGGGATAAAATAAGGCAGAGAAAGAATCTTTGGTTCAAAGACTCATACGAAACATCAACTAATTCCTAAGTATGAACCATATTTTATTCTGAATGTGAAACAACTCATAAAAACACTGTAAGACTAATGGAGAAATTTGAATGCTGACTAGGTAATGATATTTGGCATTATGAAATGAGTGATCATACTTTTAGGTATCCTTATAGAATTGTTGTTACAGTTTTAAAGGGACACTTAATCTTCTAGAGATTCATACTGAAATATTTGGGCTTCCCAGGTGGTTAAGTGCTAAAGAACCTGCCTGCAAATGCAGGAGTTGCAGCTTCGATTCCTGGGTGAGGCAGAGGGAGAGAAGGGAATGGCTACCCACTCCAGGATTCTTGCCTGGAGGATCCCCGTGGACAGAGGAGCCTGGCGGGCTACAGTCTGTGGGGTCGCAAAGGGTCAGACATGACTGAGCGACTAACACTTTCACTTCAGAAATCAAGCCCAATACTAATAATTGTCTAAATAAACAACTGCCATGTCTCCCCCTTACTCAAGGCTAGAAATTGCACTAGGTACTTTAGGAATAGTATCTTTTAGTCCTCAGAACAGTCCTTCAAAGGATGAAGTTTTGCCAGCTCTAAGGATGTTCACGGGAAGCTCAGAGAAAGGGATTAGGGTAGTCCCAAGGTCTGAGTCAACCTTGACCACGACAGAGGATTAGAAGCCTGGACACTAGTATGGGTCTCTAGATACGACTTGGTTCTGTCATCTGTGACTCCTGAGATCACCCTCAAGGAAAAAGGCCCTCCGAATGTCAGTAACCTGCTCTCCCCAATCTCCTTCCAGCAACGACTATCAAAAGCAAAGCACCCTATGATTCTGTTGTTTCTCTGAATCCAACATTCTCTACCAGGGATTGCACAGCCTTTGTTTTAGCATCTCACAATATACAAACCATTTGGGAAAGCCAATATATTCAGAATTCTTCCTGAATTTGCCTTTTGGGTTTCTGCATGGAAAAATTACAAGGACATAAAAACGCAGCTGGGAAAACTGTTCACTCCTCCCTCCTGATTCTTCTTGCCCCTGCCCCATGCCAGGCCCACTGTATGGTGTTTGCCACTACTTTTCTTCACTCAAACGTCAAATGTCCACCTGAACACAGCAGCTGTGACCAACTCGAATCCCCGTGGGCAGAGTGAGCGCTGCTTTCTCCTAGGAGAATTTCACCCGACAGACTGAATTTAGAAAGTTACCCTTGTCTTGAAAGGGTTAGGGTGTTCTTGGATTCAATTTCCTCGTTATAAACTTTAAATTGTTTCCTAGTTCTGGTGCATTAAATCCTGGGCCTGGGAAGTAAATTTGCCTCTGATGTAAGTGTTAGAAAGAAATGTAGGTTTGGACTGTACATCACTGTTTAGGAGTCAGTACTTTCTCCCCTCCTCTTAGCCAGTAGGACAGAAACCATGATCTTAAGTGAGTTTAATCCTTCCAGTGAGACAACTGTCTTGCTCATCAGACACCAAATATGACAGCACCAGCACTCAAAAGACTCTCATCACCTATTCCCATTTCAAAATTAAATGCATGAGCAAATCCTTGAAAGTATTTGAAAAGTAACATGCTTTCCTTGTTTGATGTACAAGTGTTATTGTAAATAATTCACTTAATAAATCTATTATTTTTTTATGAGTTTGACCCCTATTCCTCTGAGAGGTTTATTTCTTTTAACTGTAAATGTCACAGTTCTTCCATTCATCTTCAAAAGCCATCTAGTTCATCTTTCCATCTTTTGTGATTAATTTCCCCACCAACACACACACACACAGACACACACACTCATTTCGACCTTAACGCAAATGTATCATTTAGCCTCAATTACTTAGTAGCAAGTTGCTTCTGCACACATTTATTACTTCTATTCATAATTAGTCATGATTAACTAGATTAGAAACCCTCCAAGGGCAGAAATTGTTTTCTCTATTATTTTATCTTATAGTGCAGGGCCTGGCTCTGAATAAACGATCAATTAACACACAGCAATTAATGATTTGGGCCAGTATCAAATGTACGGAGCTGATGGTTTAGTAATAATCACCTGAAATAATGACAACACTCATATCACCTTTAAGTCCTTGTCCCTACTGGCTAACTTCTTCCAGAAAATGCTTATGAATTTTGCATAATATTGTTGGCATCTTGACATTACTGTTGCATGTGATTTATAATCTTACAAACCATTTGTCACCAAAACAATGTGGAAGATAAAAGTAATTTCAGTAATACATTGACAATATTCTGCTGTTGAAATGTTTGTATATACATCATATAAAATGAGGAGAGACGTGTTTTAGAAATGTCCTAGGCTGGTGACAAGATTGGACAAAGCCGGGCCGCCATGCCCTGGGCAAGGATGCCAATAACTTTCAACGCACCAATTTTCTTGGGCTCCATTTAAAGCCTAAATGGGGCTCAAAGAGAACAAAGGGACCTGCTTACCTCTTCCTCTCAGATTCTCTGGGGGGACTGGGCTGAGGACTAGTCACCAGCCAAGAACACCTCCTCCTCACCCAGGCCTCTTGCTATGTACTAATCTGTTAGAACAAGTGAGATACACTAATTTTCAGGACATAGAGATTCATAATGGTGGAGCGGGGTGTGGCACTGCTACACGTGTCCCATGGCAGCCGAAACATGGCTTATTCATTCATTCATTCATCAGCAGACATTCCCTACCCTATGGCCAGGCACCCCTCACACTCGTGCCATCTCACATAGCGGCAGAGATGGAACATGTACCAAAACAAGTACCACGACAAGTGCCAGGGGAAGCCCTCCTTCCTGAGCCCAGGCCATGGTCTCTAAACCAAGTTTAGAAACTCCAAAAATGCTTTAGCCTGAAGCATTTATTTTCCCAAAATTCAGGAGCTTATTCCTCCTCCCCTCAAAAAACTTGGAGATAAAATCCAACAATAGAACATTGCCTGAAGTGTATTCCAAGGACCACTAGGTCTGCAGGATGATAATGGCTGTTGCCCAAAGGGGGGAAAAAAGGAAAGGGAGGGTAGTTCCTGATCAGTGAAGTCTAGAAACTGCTGATCTAATTAATGTCGGATTTTTTTAAAAGAGCCTTTAAAATGTTAATACTGTTTATGAGTCACTAGGAAAGGATAATATTCCCCAAAGTTAGATAGATGACGATTTCTGTTTTCAGTGGACGTTTTTCTCATTGCACACACTTCAAGATTGTTGTCGAGCTTCCCCCAGGCCCATTTAGGTGGCTTGATAGTAATAGACTCCGCCTGCCACTGCAGGAGACACGGGTTCGATCCCTGAGTCAGGAAGATCCCCAGGAGTAGGAAATGGCAACCCACTCCAATATTCTTGCCTGGGAAATCCCACGGACAGAGGAGCCTGGCTGGCTACAGTCCTTGGGGTCACAAACAGTCAGACAGGACTGAGTGACTCAGCACACACACACATCCTTTCCATATCCTCTTCCAGGAGGGGGCCAACAGGCTGACATCAGCTCGGTACAGAGGGGATTATCAGAATATGTTTATCTCCGTGGTCAAATGTTAAGGTCCCCCAGGAGGGTATAAGCACGTTTCAGATAACCAGGAGGTCCTCCGGTGCAGCACAGGGAATTCTGCTTAGTGTTATGTGACAGTCTGGGTGGGAGGGGAGTCCGGGGGGGATGACTGGGTAAGTATGGCTGTAAGTACGTGTACTATGGCTGGGTCCCTTTGCGTCCACCTGAAAACATCACATTGTTAATAATCTATACTGCAATACAAAATTTAACAATTTTTAAAGAAAGGATATAAATTCACTTCAAAGGTCAAGAAATGATGAATGGTGGGTTTTTTTCAGTGCTTTCTTCCTAGTTCTAATATTTGTAGACAAACTACTCCCATTTCCTAGGACTGTTCTCTGTACTGCCCTTGGAGGGCTCTACTTGAAGTTTACAGATCGGAATACAAGCTTGGTTTCCTGCTTCACCAGCAGAATTTGGACAATATGTTGATGCAGCTTAAAAAGCATCCACAATAACGCAAACGCTTAGGTAGACTAGCTTTCAATAGATCAAAGCGGCCTCTGCAAAACTCAGTGCTATAGATATGAGTTCTTAGCTATGGCTGCGTACTCGAATCCCCTGGGGAGCTTACAACACACCGGGATGCAAGCCTGCCCCAGATGAACTAAATCAGATTCTCTGGCGGTGAGGCCTGAGGATTGTTATTTTGTAAAACTCCCGGCAGACATAGAGAACAGATGTGGACACAGTGGGGGAGGAGAGGCTAGGACGAAGGGAGAGCGGCGTTGCAGCAGGTACCTGACCGTGTTGCAAACAGACAGCCGGTGCGCATGTGCCGTGCGGCGCGGGGCGCTCAGACCCGGGTGGGTGGGCGCCCTGTGACCGCGGAGCGCTGGGGCGGGGCGGGCGGCGGCCACGTGCACCCCTGTGGCTGATTCCTGTCGGGTAGGGCAGAAGCCAGCACGATGTTGTAAAGCAGCTGTCCTCGCATGAAAGCGGAACGGCACTCCCGGGGGCCTCTCGTGCACGGCCAGGGTTGAGACGCACGGCCCGAAAGGTCCAGCTGTTGTCACAACGGCCAGCGGCCACCCCGCCTGACTCAGGACTCGCTGGCTTGGGGAGCGCGTGCCGTGTTACGTTAACTTGCTCGAGCTGCCGTGACAAAGCCGGGGGACTTACACCGCACAAACGTAGCGTCTCTCGGTTCCGGAGGCTGGAGTCCAAGCTCAGGCGCCAGCAGGGCTGGTTCCTCCCGAGGCCCCCGTCCGCTGGGCTTGCGGACGCCGCCTCTCACTGCGTCCTCGCTGGTCCTCCTCCGCGCCTCTGCGTCCCCAAGCCAGGCGGGATGCGCGCCACCCCTGACCCCTCGTTTTAAGCGAACCGCCTCTTCAGAGGTCTTCGAAGTACAGCCACATTCGGAGGTACCAGGGGTCAGAGTTTCGACACGTGAATCTGGGGGGAGACGCAAGCCAGCTCGTAACAGGTGTGACAGGAGACGCCAGAGGCTCCAGGAAACACTGCACACCGTCACATCCACAAAAGGGACGCTTTTCCCTGCTTCTGTCAGAGGGGAGCACACGGCATCACACGAGGAAGAAAATCTCTGCCCTTTGAAATAAACCAGCAATCGCTTCTCGGCCTTTTGGCTAAGATCAAGTGTGAAATAAACCAGCAAAGTCGCCCTGCCTGGTTACGGCCTCCAAGATATTAAAATTTTGAACCTATCCCACAGACCTTAAAATAAAGGGGGGAGGGGGCAAGGAAATGCTTTATTTCTTACTTTTATAATAGTGGTGTTTACAGGTATAACATATAAGTGAATATAAAGATGATATAAAATATTATTGAGCAGACAAACAACAACTAATATACATAAACAGGCTTCCCAGGCGGCGTGAGTGGTGAAGAACTTGCCTGGAGACATAAGAGACATGGGTTCAATCCCTGGGTTGGGAAGATCGCCTGGGGGGCATGGCAACCCTCTCCCGTGTTCTTGCCTGGGAAATGCCATGGACAAAGGAGCCTAGTGGGCTATACTCCGACTCACACAGGCTGCAGCCCATGGGCTACAGTCTGACCCACAGAGTCAGATTCTACTGAAGCAGCTTAGCACAGCACAACATAAATATAAGTACTGGCTGAAGGAGAAATGTTTTTATCTTCCATGTGCTCTTGTGTATGTGTCTTTTTGCAGTTCTGGAGGCGCCATCAAGGAGATTTATCTGAGGAAGGGCTTCACCTGCCAGAGCTTGACCGTTCAGATTCACTGCAAAACCCATTTATCTCACGTGCTGTGCAAATCAAGAAGTGTCTTTTTTCACTTACACAATGAACCCCTGAAGCAAGAGAGCTATACTATCACTGCCTTTTTTTTCTTCCTCTCTGCTCTTCTGGCTGTTTCTATTTGTGTTTCTGAATCAAGTCTGGTACCAGGTATGGTTTGAGCTCAGGCAGTAATTTATTCCTTGTTAATGACTGAAAAGTCAGGAATCTAGGTTTATGGTGATCTCCATCAGGTAGTAAATAATGGAGACTCTGGTTTATGTGTCATCTCTGTCTGACCTGGGAATGCTGATATCTTTGATTGTTGAAATGCTAATACAAACATTATATACAATGAGGAGAGAGGCGTTTTTAGAAATACCCTAGGCTGGCAACAAGTTTGAACATAGAAAGCAGTGCCATGAGGCCCTAAGGATGAGCTTTCTTGGGCCCCAATTGAAGATTATCTGAGGCCCAAAGAGGATCAAAGCCTACCCACCTCCCCGCAGAGCCTCTGGGTGAGCTGGTTATGGCTGGTCAGGAGGCAGAAGTACTTCCCATCAATGCGGTCACACCAGTCAGTTCAGTCGCTGAGTCGTGTCCAACTCTGCGACCCATGGACTGCAGCACGCCAGGCCTCCCTGTCCATCACCAACTCCTGGAGTTTACTCAAACTCATGCCCACTGAGTCACTGATGCCATCCAACCATCTCATCCTCTGTCGTCCCCTTCTCCTCTTGCCTTCACTGTTTCCCAGAATCAGGGTCTTTGCCATGAGTCAGTTCTTCGCATGATTCTTCACTGAGATCACATCACTCAAGAAAATTTTCTGTGCTTTCTGGAGAAGCAAACAGCCTTTGAGATCTACAGTGGCTGGAACCGCAAGCTTCTCTGTTCTGTTTATTTTTTATCTCTGGCTGAGGTCATAAAACTGAAGCTGTGGTTCTTCTTGTGTGTGAGAAATTTTTTTTCCTTTTTATTTCCTTATAAAAGGAAGATGAAGTATTTTGTTTATCACGTTCTGTATTTGTGGCTCCCCCCCCCCACTCCTCTCTTCTCCTACTTTTCATTTTCTTTTCTTCCTCCCACACAGAACTTTTTGGAAATTAATTGGTTGTAAATATCTTTCATCTATTGAAATGATTGTGCACGTGATAAATAATGAGTCAGATAAAGGAGAAAAAAATTAGCAACAGTACAAAGTTACTCGTGTTTATGAGGGCACTTTGCTTCACTGGCATACACAAGCACTCATATAAATTCAAAATAATTACTTTTTAAAGGTTTAAAATAAATTTGAAAGAAGAAAAATCTGAAATAAATAAATTCCAGAAAGGAGGAAAATCAAATGTTAATGCTTACAACTTTGGCTCTTTAAGAAAAAAACTTCAAAAGCTTGTTGCATCTATTCCTCAGAGGAATAAAAAAGTTTAACTCTTGGATAAACTAATGGCCTTCATTACTGGTTATAAGATAAAAAGCAAAAGAATGCTAAGGTACTTCAAACACAATTTAAAAATTTTTCAATATTAGGTTTATAACTACAGATGTTCATAAAATATAAATCTCTTGAAAAGTTTATCTTGTTCAAGGTGAAAATTTTAATTCAAAGCAATGAATTATGTTTCTCTCTGATTTTAACACAATACAGAAAACAATATGATAGATTATACAAAACCTTGGATTTATTTTATCATGGAAAGCTTAATCAATCTGAATGCTTTAAAGTTTCATGACTCGAGGAAATTTGCTTTATTACAAAAATGTAAAACTATTTGTCCAACTAAAGTATAACTAATGTCATATAAAGGGTCTTGTTAAGTGTTTATAATTCTATATATCATATACATACAAAATCATGTAAATATATGAAATCAAAAATATTTATTTATTTGGGTGTGTTGGGTCTTAGTTATGGCATGTGGGGTCTAGTTCCCCAACCAGGGATTGAACCCGGGCCCCTGCATTGGGAGCAGGGAGTTTTAGCCATTGGACCACCAGGGAAGTCCCCCAAATTCCTAATTTTTAAATTGAGGTGAAATTCACTTGACATGAAATTAGCCATTTTGAAGTGTCCAGGTCTGTGGCATATAGTACACTCGCAAAGTTGTACAATCATTGCCTCTAGTTCCAAACCAGATGCGGTTATCATCACCCCAAAAGGAGACCTCAGACCACTAAGCAGGCACTCCCTATTCCTCCCCACCCCTTTGGCAACTACCAAGCTGCTTTCTGCATCTGCGGACTCACCTGTTCTGGATGTTGCATGCGGAAGGAAGCAGGCAGCATGTGACCTGCTGTGTCTGGTCTCTCTCACTGAGCATGATGCTTTCATGGTTCATCCACGCTGGAGCATATGTCAGCACTTCATTTTAATAGCCGAATAATATTTCATTGTAGTTATATACAGCACATTTCCTTTATCATTCATTCATTCATGGTGGACATTTAGGTTGCTTCCACCGTTTAACTATCGTGAATAGCACTACTATAAACTCTCATGTACAAATATTTATCTGATACCTGTTTTCATTTTTTTAAAGTACATATCCAGAAACAGAATTGCTGGGTCTTATGGTTATTCTACATTTAACTTTGTCAGAAACAATCAAATTGTTTTCCAAGTGGCCATTCCATTTTACGTTCCTACCAATTAACTTTAAGACTTTGAACTATTAGTGTATAATAATATGTTGTACCCCTGAAAACTCTAGTTTTACTATACTCTTGTCATAAGCTAGCTGGTTAGAATGAATGTAAAAACCTACTACTTTAAGAAGTTTTTAAAGATGTCTTTGATTGTAGAGAGGTATATATGTAAGATAATGATTTATTTTGTTTTGCTTTAAATAAAATTGGTTTTGCCAGAATATGAAAGAAGGTAATAGAAGGCAATTTGAGGATACACCACAAACACAGAAAGAAGAAAAAAGCTAAGCTCAAGAGCCTGGGCTTATAATGCCTGCATACAGTGAATTTGAAATAAGCGAAGAAATACGTTAAAAATGTTTGCAAATTTGACTCTGTGATAATTGATTTATTCATAAGGTGAAAAGAGGCTTGTGCATCATTTACTACAAATTGCTACATAAATGGTAATCAAAAAAGTAAAATAAGAATTTGGGTCTCCTGTTAAAATGGTAAATTGATCCTTGAGTACAGAGAAAGCTTCTAACAAAAACAAAGACAAAGACAAGAGTGAAAATGTGGTCTGTGCCCGACATCAGTAGTTCCCTTCTCACTAAAATGCTGTGTAACTTGTGTTTGTTGCACTTTTGTTATTAATTTTAACAAAATGACTTTGAAAATAGGATTCCAGATAATCATTTTTATGTATTGCTGTATTTCCTTTAAATATTGCCTGAAACCATTTCTTGTCTTAATGCGTCTATGACTGAGGCTCATATAATGGCTCCTCTGATAACTCTCTTCAGTACTGCCTTTCCCAAATTCAGGACCCAGAATCAGAACTCTAAAGCTGTAAAGCTACCTACTGTACCCACATCACCTTTGGAGTTTCCCAGAGGTCCACTGGGCATTACAAAGATTTGATCTCTCACCTTTTAAAATAAGAGATTGTAGAAATAATTTGGCATTCTCTAATTTTAATATACTCAACACTGTTATGTCCACCATATGAAAAATCAGCAAAAAGGTAAAACTCTGTTTATTCCATGTGAATAAAATGTTATGTTGGAAACATACCTACATTCATGTACAAAGATGGGAACTATGACTTTCAAAAACTAGATTAATCTTTAAAAGACCCTTTATTTTCAATATAAATTCTCTTGTCAATTGATGATAATCAGAATACACTTTATCAGGTAGATTAAACACTCTTGGAGATTTGACAGTGGCCTCACTGTTTATAATGTATTTATATTGTACCCTCACAATAAGCATTAACTAAATCCTTAGAAATCAGTTGCTTATTGCATTTCAATAGAGGATTCTCCCTTCACGGGTCACAGCCTAGCTCTGGCTAAGGGGCTTGTGTAAGTCAGTGACGCTATGAGCCATGCGGTGCAGGGCCATCTAAGATGTTCAGGTCATAGTGAAGTGTTCTGACAAAACACGGCCCACTGGAGGAGGGAATGGCAAGTCCCAGTTCAGTCGCTCAGTCGTATCCAGCTCTTTGCAACCCCATGGACTGCAGCACGCCAGGCCTCCCTGTCCCACTCCGGGATTCACACTTCGAGAACCCCAGGAGCAGTATGAAAAGGCAGAAAGATAACGGCACCGGAAAATGAGCCTCCAGGTCAGATGGTGCCCAGTATGATACAGGGGAAGAGCGG